TGAGCCAATTCCGCGGGCAAATGTCGTTAAATCTCGAAGACTACGACATTTGCATGAAACTAGAACAAATCTTCTCGACGGTAGGGCGGATGAGAAAGCGATGAAAATTGAAACGAAGTAGACAGATCATTTGGCTCTGCTCGGCGCCGACAGTCGAGGAGAGGACGACAAGAATGCTTGTAGAGTCCGCAGTCAGTTCCCCAAACTTCCTCTCACCCTCTCTCCATCTACTTTGCGACTGCTTTGCGACTAAATATGCTCCTACTTCTCTACTCCCCATCAATTACCATGACTCCAAGAATCGTTTCTTTTATCAATGATAGTACAAGCCATGTTATGAAAGTCTTGAGAACCAGATTCGGACCTGCAGGAAAAATCTGTTCACTTCGAGGTGACTCTGATCATGCTGTGTACGAAGGTCGAAACAATCACTTCTGCCAACAGCTCCGCTCCCACAATTACCTCAGCCAAGTGAGGACAAGATAATCCACTTCCTCAAAACCACAATGTTCGCCATCATCCGATCAACTTCAACACCAAAAAAAATCCAAACACGTTCATGAAAACTCTCCGAACATCAAGACAGGAGATACCAGTTCTTCGAGTAAAAGAAAGGTAAATGTCACAATTGTACAAAGAGTCGAGCCCAACCCACGACTTGCACGTAGAATAAAGGTCGAAGCTATGGGGATCAACCCCGACGCGAAAGGCTCAACTCGAAGAACTGTCAGTTCTTCGAGTTCGCCACGAATATAAACCTGAAAAGTCGACCTAGCCTACGCTCCGCGTCTCAACGTTAGCCGACTCCCAACGTCATCCGACTCACACTCGAATCCAACGTGTCTAAACTCAAATCGACACCAACGTCGATCTGTAACTGCACTAACGGGCATACACATGACAGAGTTGCAAAATCTTTGGCGCAGAAAAGTTTATGCATAAGCATAAATATCAACATTAAGATTGAAATGAAAAATTTGTCCATCATTGATTTCAAATTGCAAAAAGTATATGCAAATGATGAAATGAGTAGGAGTTTGTGACAAATTTTTATGATATGCATGCAAAAGAATTGATCAAATTGTGAAATTTAGCCAAATTTAACAAGATCACAAGGAAGACGTCTAATGTAGCAATGATATTGTAAAAACATGAAGAAGGTCACATTCAACAATAATATTTTAACAACATAAAAAAGTAGAACATAAAAAACTGATGAAAGAATTTTGACAAAAATATAAATAAAAAAATCTTGACTTACACTTATATTAATTTTTAGAATTAATACAAAGTAAAGATTGAAAGAAAGAAATGATTGAAATTTCATAAAAGTAGCAAAAGAATAACCCAATAAGTTGTTACATATAAGATGATGAAAAAATATAAGGTGAAAATTCTAATTGATTATAGAGCAAGAAAGATTTTTTATCACAAATCTTTGCAATAAAAGTAGATTTGATGTTTATGAAGGACGTAAATGAAGAAGTGAAATTGCCAGACAAACAAACTTAAGCAATGAAAAAAATATTAGAAAATGTATAAATATTTATAAGTAAATGGAAAAGAGAAATCACATGAATAATAATTCAATTAGCTTGAAGTTATGTTATGTATAAATGTTTTATGTTTAACTCAAGTTTTATATTGAACTCTAGTTAGCCTAACTCAAGTTAGAGTTAGTATTAGGGTTTTGATAAATTTTACTAGTTAGGATTGATACTATGGCTTCAACTAGTAGGTGTATATTGGAGTGCAGAAAACATATTGCATTAAACATTTATAAGTTTTATTGCAGATTTTGTTGTTATTGTGGACGTAGTTCAAAAGTGATGAACCACATATTTGCGTATCGTTGGTTTTGTTGATTATGAATTTATCTATTTTTGCACAACAAGATCAAGCTAAACAATCTGGATATAGATTGTAAAATATATCAATAAAAAATAATTCAAGAATTTATAAAAATAAAAATAGTTAATAATTTATTATTTTGTGAGGAATTTTTTTTTCAAAAATTTATATATGTTTATTGAAACTTATAAAAAATATTAATGTATTCAAACACAAAATTGATATTATGTAAAATCTGAATGATATTTTATGAAATATAAGAACATATATTTTTATATGATTTATTTGCAGTTAATATCATCAAATAGGCGTGTGAATCATAAAATTAAGATGATATCTAGAATCACATCAATTTCAAAAATTTATTCTTAATTTTCAGTTTGGATTCTTAATATTTTTTTAAATATTAAGATGTAATTATTTAATATATAACACTTTTTTAGTGATATTATGATGATCAGATATTAATATTATGCAAGCAAAGGTGCAATAAATTTTAACAATCGAATACTTCCAACTTAGCAATGTTGTGACTTTCACATGAGTTCACTGACTTAGTGAAGATATCAATATGTTGATTGTTGATGAAATCTTTGTTCAAATAACAAAAAATGAAATATGTATTGTGCTAGATGACACAGTTAGAGACACATCAAAGTGTGATGTGTTATATAATGTGATGAATTTTTTAACGAAAAATGTTAGGTGACAACAATATTGAGATCATGAAGAATTCTACATCAAAGTGAAAAAAAGATACCATAAACAAAAAAATTGGGCATTCAATTTTTAAAATTCATATCTAAAGAATTCGGCCCAAACTAAAGATTATGAGGACCAAAAGAGAAATATATAGTCTTCTGACTTGCAAGTGACACAAATATATAAAAATGTAATGATGCGCATGCATATGTCACATGAGTATAATCATGATAAGAATCTGAAAAATATGATTATATGGAGATTATTTACAAGATAAACTTGGTGGCCATGGATAAAGTTCGTGGACAGAAGCAACCACCTAGTTAGACGATAGCATCCATTGCTAGATAGAGTAGAATAGAATCGAGGAGAAAGAAGACAAGGATGTAATGGAATCACGGAGTCTATGGTCAATATCACTGAGTTGAAAACTTCTTCATAATAAAGTGTGAAGGTTGAAGAGGCACACATACCATTTACCATGGAGCAACCAACCAGGTTGCAAACTCTTGCAGGTGCACTTGATATCACTTCGCATAATGAAACAAAAAGAAAGCCAATTTGTTTGACCAAAGTCAGGGTTTATCAGGTAGATTTTGAAGACAAACGGAAGAAGCATGTAAAAACCAATGGATCATTAATACCAAGAAGTGATAACTTCGCCGTACAATGAGATTGCAAAGAAAAAATGTGACCTGCAACTAGTGTGTGGATGCCTTCACTTGGAAGTAAGAATCACCGTGAAACGATTAAATGTCAACTCCTTGATGTATGTATTTGAATTTGAAATATGTCCGTGAGAGAAAGGGCAAATATGTTATATTGAATATGAAGATGAAACTTAACAAGAGGGCTGAACATCTCCTTCTCTCTTTGACGAGATGTCATGACAAAATATATGATGCCGGTTCATGTGTTTACAAGCGGGGTGTTTATGGAGGGAGAACCTGAAGAACTAGGGCGAAAACACTTCATTTGAGGCCCACGTAAGGAGGGAAGAAAATGCAACGGTAGAAGCTAATGGGGGATTGAGTTTGGAAATGCACAGTTTCAGATTTAAATAAGTTCATTATCTATCTAGTAAGATGGAAAAGGTACTGTACGGAAAGAGAGAGGAAAAATGGATACCAGGAAGAGATTAAAGATTTCAATGCTGGCCGGAGATTTGTTGCACGCTTGCGAGAAGGAAGAAGATTAACAAATGTCACGCCAAGAGCATCAGAGAAGGAGAAGAACATGCCACCTTACAACTAGAGTGATGAAACTCACTTCCTCTTCACTCAACCAATTGGTACCAAGGAAGGATGAGGCGCAGGAGAGGAGAGATAATATCACATCTCGTGGCAGTAGATGAAGAGGCAAGGGTCGTTAGATGGCAGTTGGTGTTTTATTACCGTGGCAAAGATTTGACTATACATAATTCTTTTGGGAGACCCGACGATGAAACCAAATAGGGGACTTAGGGAGTAGCGGAAGTAATGGAACCCTGCTAGACTCATTACTGTAGTTGGGATTGAAAACAGTACGTTTCAACCCTTTTTACTCTCAGAAGGTCTAGTCAGGGTGACAGGAGATTACAGAAATAATTGCTTGATATATTATACAGGAGAAAGCAGGAGAAGCAGAGGAAAAGAATAAAGTATTCATTGGAAAGAATCACCATTGCATAAATGCATGCAAACATTGTGATGAATTCTTGGAATAATCATGAGCAAGAGATTTGTTCTAAGTGTGTATTCTCCAGTTAGAATGGTGACGTGTGTGGCCTGTAAGCACAAAGCACTTTGAAGTCAAATATTACTTGGCTCATCAATAATGTATTGAAGTGAATCATATCCTTGCACGGAATGGACGCGGCCAGAGCCAAATCCCTGCGGACAGTGGCGGACAGTCCCCATTCTATAGAGCAAATCAGTAGGTTATAAGAACATGGTTGACGGTGGCCGTCGAATGGGGTCCGATCGGGTGAAATGAAACCCCAACAGGTTTCAATTTACCTGTTGGGTCCCTTCCGAGGGAGTTTCCGAGGGGTCCATCAAATAATTTCCTCGGGTCACAATAGTCTCATGTTGGTCCCGTGGTCTTACGCCGGGCCCACCCGTGATCTTCAGGAAGCCACTGGGATTACCGGGTGCTAGCCGGTCGCCGGGGCTAACAACTGCGCTGGACTACGGGTGAGCCGTTTATCTGCCATGCGAGTGTCAATGCAACAACCATATCCGCCGAATAGGAGCACGGGATAGGAAGGGACGAATTGGGGGGTTATTATTTATCAATTCCAGTATCAAACATCGGAATTCGATAGTTGACAGGATTCATAAAAGTCGGATTCTCACCGGGAACCACCGGGAACGCTTGACGATGCCTGCGAATTTCCGGCGGGTCTCCGTTGAAGATCTTTGACTGATTCATTGATTGAGCTTTGTCTCGTTGTGCGGGCCGCAGTCACGCCTCCTGTGAACAAGGTGACGAGGAGGTCGAGCATCCGGTACATAAGAGTGAAGGACTTGAGAGAGCCAGGAAGTCGTGTCTTTTGCTGCAGCCGAGTGCGTCTTTGGATTTCTTCAACAGAAAACTGCAACAGCAGATTGTTGAAAGTTTAGAGTTTCATTTCGTCATCATGGGTGTCAAGGTGTATGGAATTCCCATGTCCACTGCCACGAGGAACGTCTTGATGGTTCTGATGGAGAAGGAGGTCGATTTCGAGCTGGTGCCAGTGGACATGAAAAATCTAGGACACAAATCACCCGAACATTTGGCTATGAACCCCTTCGGCAAAGTCCCCGTGTATCAGGACGATGATATCACTTTGTTCGGTGAGTCTTGCAATCCTTTATCCTTTGCCTATTCTATACCGTCAATGAACTCTCTGGTCGCAGCTTTCGAGGCTGTTGCCGATCTCTTGCGTTTGCTGTCTGTCTGTACGTCGAAAGCTAGTTGTCAATTGAGTATCGAGGTCCCGGGATCTGGGTCAGTTGAACAATAAACTCAGCCTGGGTGTGTGGCTGGAGGATCATTGTCTCTAACCTCCTTCGTTCTACCGACTTCATTAAATGTTAAGCTGGACCTTCCAATCCACCTTGCCAGTGGTTTTACGCACCTCGACCTAAATGAACCCTTACCTACTTTCGACGGAAGGTCGCCAAGTGATATGCAGAGCATTTCAACATGGTCGTTGTGCCACAAATGAGCAATGTTTCACTTTGACACATGATCAATGAGCACATTTTTCATTGTTCATTTGACACACACCATTGCACTTCAGTCAGAGTCTCACTGTGCTCTCTAAATTCCTTCTCTCCTCCTCTTCGAACTTCTGATTTGTTTGTGTGTTGTCGTACAGCGTTGAACTTTTCTTCCACCTTCCTGGTTGTTCTTGTAGAATGGAAATTTCTAGAACACCCGGGGACCTGCTAACTCATACTCAACTCGGGAACCTGAACACCATATTGTTCGTGAAAACCTCGTTGATGCCTCCTGAGCGAGAGTCGGATTTCGAGAGAAGGATTGAGGTTTAAATACAATCTACGTAGATGAAATAAACCGGCAGGACATAAAATGGTGAGGACGTGTGGAGTGGTCAATTTTGCTCGTACAGAATGAAGCTGATCCTTCTGAATATGGTGCAGAGTCCCGGGCGATTAATCGATATGTTGCCAGCAAGTACGAGGGTCAAGGAACACCTCTGCTTGGGTCAACTCCTAAAGAGCAAGCTCTTGTCCAGCAATGGATGGAGGTAGAAGGACAGAGCTACTATCCACCTTGCGGGGCTCTCGTGTCGCAGCTCTTCTTCAACAAGATATTCACAGGCCAAGGTCCCGATCCGGCCATCGTTGAAGTCAACGAAGCAAAATTCAATGCTGTCTTGGATATTTACGAGGCCCGGCTTTCCGAGAGCAAGTATCTGGCCGGTGATTTCTTCTCTCTTGCGGATATCGGTCATTTGGCTCACACTGAATACTTCATGGCGCACACCGGAAAGGCCGATCTCATTAACAGCAGGAAGCATGTGGCAGCTTGGTGGAAGGATATCTCCACCAGACCCACATGGAAGAAGGTGATATCATACGGACAGTAGTTCCGTAACTCTTTGTACATAGTCTGACACCATTTTGAATTAGCTGAATGTCCTACTTGAATTGGTATAGCGAGCACTGTAAACGGCGAGATAAGACATCTTCGTTCTTCGTCAAAGGATCTGAGCTCTCAATCGCTCTTGTGCGGACTAGATGAGCCGACAGGCTTTCCATTCAACTCTGGAATGTACTCAGTTTCAACTCGAGGCTTTGTTTCAGTAAAGCGAATTTATTGAGCAGATGAAATTGTGCTTGCTATCCGAAACCTCTACAGACTAGTTGCCATAGAACAATGTCAAAGAGGAAGTGTAGACAGAGTGGACATGATTCTGGATACTGAGTGATTAGATGGGTTCCTAATTCGTAGAATAGCGTCTAATATGCCGTTCTACTTGCAGATCAAGCGCCATGTATAGCGGAAATCAGATTTTCCACCTGGGGTAGCAGAACGCTCTGGATCAATCCTCGCATTACCACAGTTCCGTCACTTGTTCTGTGCAGAGGCATTAGGACAGCTGTGAATGGGATTGGTAAGGTTTTTAACTAACTGCCCTGGAATCTCACCACGTCCCGTCGAAGGTCTCGGCTTAAGTATCGCCTGATACAATCTTCTCAAGATTGTTATTAAATTGTACGTCATGCGAGGGCATATTTTGAAATCTTCCGAGCTCTGTAAACGTGCTGTCCACTTGGGGAAAGGCGAGGATATCTCTCCACTCAAAGCTGTCGCGTATCTGAAGTTGCGTAAACAGTACCTGCAAGGTATGATAAGGACAGAACGGCAGTGGCTAAAACTACTCTTCATACTCTGTGTCTGTGCCCACACTTCGTATCTCCGAAGCTGCCGATTTTTGCAATTCCAGTCTTTCTCAATAATATTCTGTAGAAGCATTACGGTCTAATTTTCACATATCTCACAATAAGAAGTTTAAATATGACTTACGGCGCTGATGCAAAGTGAAAGAAAGAACTCTCGTAGCGTACGAGAAGCATGGGAGAAATATTAGGTAGAAAAAAATACTATATGAAAATATTAGGCACTAAAATCTGCTAAAGAAAAAAACTCCCAAAGTGAAAATGATGTGGAAATGAGAACATTCTTACAGACCCTCAACATCAGACAAAAATCAAGTGAAGAAAGAAATGAAGCAAATGTAAGAATGTCAGCTTTTTACTTAAGTGCACCAAATCCTCGTTCTAAGTGTCATATAAACTATAATCAAGTTCTTAAATACTTGAAAAATAAACATTAACAAGATTTAACTTTGCAAATAAACAGAATTTAATAGTCGCAAAATTTCTATTTGTTTCCAAATTCTTTTCATCATAATTATTGTATGTTCACTACAATTTTTTTAAAAAAATATTTTGAAAAATTCAGTCATAAGGATATTGGTTAATTTTTAGTGGTTTTTTTTCATATTTGATTTTTTATTTTAAGTTCAGTTTTGATGAAAAAATTTTAATATATATAAAAATGATAAAAAATAGTGAAAAAATAATAATTCACACAAGACAACACAAAAGATATTGTAATCTGTCTGTAACCTATTTCTACGAAAACACTAATATTTTACTCATAATGTTTGAGATCCGCAAGATTGCTCGCGGGCCTAAAGTAAACCTCTTATCACTAACTCTCATTGTTGTGAGTGTAAACGTAGGTTGATACTAAAGTAAACGTCTAATCACTAATTCTCATTTTGGCTGTATGTTGTGAGTGTAAACGTATGTTGATACCAAGCATACGCTACACACGTAGAGGAAAGCTAATGACGAAGTTGAGAGATCCAGGATGGATGACATTTGAAATCGACTCTACTAGTGATTCAGATTTTAGACTAGTTGTGAAGCTTGTTTGTATTTTCTAATTTGCTTGAAAACAGAGAGAGACAGAGAGCGCGAAGACAACAAGCACGTGCATGAGAGAAAAAGCTAAAACGGGAAAAAATTACAACCGACTTAACTCAAAATTATGTTTGATTTGTTGTAAACAAAAAAATACTTTTTTGAACTAAAACGAAAATTTACTATCTAAGCAATTATCCTTAACACCTAACAATTAAAAGACAACAACAAGAATGAGTCAAATAAACTCCAAAAATGACAAAATCTTTTTTTCATATTTAATTTTAAATGTATAGATTTGCAGCACAAAGTTAGAGACTTTATGAATTTTGTGAACCAAAAACCTAATAATAATATATTCAAATTTGATTGTGAATGCTTTCAATTTTTTATGCGTTTGTGGGCCAAAAATTAAACAATCATTTAAAAACATGCAAACTTGCAGTAAAAAGTTGTATCTTTCATGTATTTGTTAATCAACATTAAAACAATGATCTATTTAGCAGCAGAAATGCCAACCACAAATTAAAGGTTGTGGACTTCATGTATTTGTTAACAAAAAAATGAACAATATTTTCAAACAATTTTCACTTTTGAACATTATGATTTAGTTCTAAGTTCAGAATTTTATGTATTGATAGCCAAAATTATTAAAAGAACAAAGACAAGCCATATTTTTTTTTAGCTTCAGATTTTTTTCCAAAATCACATAAAAATATTTTGACAAATTTTATTTTGAACTTCTTGACCTTAGAAGCATCAATTTTCAACAAGGATTATCGATTGTATCAGTTAAGAAGCATCAATTTTTACCTTATAAGCCTCTACTAATAACATTAACAATTAAAGCACTGGCATTGAATGTAGCATAAGTCTAATATAGAATTGTTACAAGATATTATGCTAGGAATTAGCAGATTAAGTTGGGTGCCATGAAAACTCGGAAGCTAGGTTTGGCAAAGTTGAATAAATTGAATATGATTACTATATGATGTGAAAAATATCTAATGAAGTTAAAAGCTACGGATTTGAACAAAATGTTAAGTTTGAATTTTCCACTTTCAACTTTCCACTAGTATTTAGAACATTTCTTTGTCAAATAGTATGACGGTTAAACATTGTTCATTAACAATGTATCATGTGTTTTGTGTTTTATGATAGGCACACAATCATTTACAATAAATTATGAACGTTTTTTTGATTTGTATTGTATCATAAAAATGATAATATAATCTTTTTCATACTTTTCATCTTTTGTGTGCATTAAGTGTGACTTATGAACGGCTTTTCTATAAAAAAATTAAAAAAATAGCATATATTTTAGATCTACATATACTTTTACAACTAAAAATCAAGTAAAAGACATGTCAAAATCTTCTAATTGAATAAAATTCTAGTGAAAAAATCATAACTTCAAATGTTTTCAAATCATGATGATTAACGCTAAGGAGAATGATTCAAAAATTTTTGAAGTATGCTAATTCAATTTAATTTATTTGAAATTTATTTGAAGCTTACAAATTATTAACTTAAATTGAACTTAATTATCAATTTAATTTATAAATAATCATATTTCTGATAATTATCATTTGATATATCACACAACTTTTGATTTGAAGTTGTTAAATTTTCTAGAATCTTTTTACTAACATAATCATATTACGACATTATCAATCACTTCACAAACAGGTGGCTGATTATAATCATTTAAGATAATTTGATTAAATATTTTATATTATTTTATCAAAATAATATTAAATCAAGGAAGATATTCAACTTAAAAAGAGTTTTTTTAATATATGAAATTGATGTGAAATCTATGAAATTATATGAATAGTAAGGTTAATATCACTTATATAATTTCTTTGTATGAGCTGAATTGATTAATTTTTTCATATTGACAATGATAAATCTTCATTCATAGAGTCTATTGAAAAAAGATTGATGATTATGAATTTCATAATGTATTAAAATTTATTTTTTATTCATATTAATCAAATTTCTTAACAATAAGAATTGAAACATCAAAGAATCATTTATGAGGTGAAAGTTGTTACATTAAAAGAAAAGACTTAATTTGAATTGTTGATTAGCAAATCATTGAATTGAATTAATAAATTACATGCAAGATATGATGAATATACTTTTATTTATTTATTTAAAAAAAATAAAAAAAAATATTTTAAATAATGAAGGCAAAGGATTGATCCTAGAATAAATATAAATTTGCTTTTATAGAAAATCCGACATTAGGAGCGTCATTCTACCATCAAACGTGGGGTTCGTGTTTTTTTAGGAATTATGGGCTATTATCGTCGGTTCATTGACCGGTACGTGATGATCATCAAGACTTTAATTATGTTTTTGAAGAATGACACTCCTCCTCCTCAAGCTACACTAGAGGCATTAGAGACTTTTGAGAAGCTAAAGCAGTCATTGCTTTCAACACCAATTTTGCAAACTCAAGATTGGGAAAAACTGGTAATTTGTTTTTCGGTTGCATCTAAAGAAGCAATGGGCGCAACATTGGCACAGTTGGATATGAAAAGATATGATCATTTCATATATTATGCTAGTAGGCAATTCAAGTTGGCAGATTGAATTACACATTCATAGAACGAGAAGGTTTAGATATTTTTTTGCTTGAAAAAAATTTTGACACTACTTGCTCGGGTCGAGGACTATGGTGGTGACAAAACATCAAGCATTGGTTTATCTTCTCTACAAATCAAATGCTACAGGAAGAATTGCACGGGGTATCATTTTACTTCAAAAATATGATATGGAGATTGTACATTGCACAAGCATGAAACATGAAAATGTGTATTTTTTCTAATGGATGAAAAAGTAGTTGGACTTTGTTTCCAAGTACAACGATTTTTCCGATGCAATGTTAATATTAATTGACGTTGACAACCAACTTGAAAAAATAGAGGCATCGATATGTCAAAGGTATGAATTTTTTGAATGATGCAACCAAACAAATTAGGCTAAAAATTGCACATGAGAGTTGGTCTTAAGCCTTGATAGATCAACTATTGTATTTTTGAGATGTTGTGAAATTTATTTGAGGCTTAAGACTAAAATGTGATTAGTGTTTTGTGTGAATCTAAGTTAAGAAAAAAAATCATAAATAGTGTGGGTGCTATATGTGTTAGTAGTAACTAGAGTTGAATGTACTACGTACTTTCAAGTGGTGCTACAAACTCATACTACGTGTTATACTAGAGTTGAGTACACTATATACTTCAAACTTGTAGTACATGTTGTACTAGAGTTGAGTGTACTCCGTACTTACAAGTTGTACTACATGTATTTCAAACTCAGAGTACATGTTATATCATAGTTGTACTCCACAAATATTTCGTTTTATTTTTGAGAGTTTTCCTGAACAACTAT